CACAATGCCCAGCTATTTTTTGGTTGCAGCCATCATTGTTGTTTGGCAGGCCCAGGCTGGATTCGAACCTGCCACCTTAGGTGTATGTGGCTGGCACCGAGCCTGAAGCTTTTCTGTTTTATTAAGTCCCATTTGTATATTTTTGTTGTTGTTGCAATTGCCACAGAAGTCTTCTTCATAAAATCTTTCCTCAGGCCAATGTCTTCAAGTGTTTTCCCCACACTTTCTTTGAGGATTTTTATTGTTTCATGCCTTAGATTTGAATCTTTTATTCATCTTGAATCAATTTTTCTAAGTGGTGAGGGGTGCAGGTCCAGTTTCAGTCTTTTACATGTGGTTATCCAGTTCTCCCAGCACCATTTATTAAATAGGGATTCTTTTCCCTAATGCATGTTCTTGTTTGGTTTATCAAAGATCAGTTGGCTGTAAGATGTTAGTTTCATCTCATGGTTTTCTGTTTGGTTCCAAATGTTAATGTCTCTATTTTTGTGCCAATACTATGCTGCTTTGATTACCATGACCTTGTAGTATAGCTGAAAGTCTAGTAGAAATAGGACTTTATTATATAAATAATAATAAAATTTATAATAGGACTTTATTATATAAATAATAAAATTATTTTTAATATAATATTTTATTATTTATATAATAAAAATATATATTTATTTACTTTTTAATTTTCTTTAATCTATATTTATATACTTTTTAATTTTCTTATTTATTTTTGCAGTTTTTGGCCATGGCTGGGTTTGAACCTGCTACCTCTGGCATATGGGACCAGTGCCCTACCCTTTTGAGCCACAGGCGCCACCCAGTTTCTATATATTTTTACTAGCTATACTCAGACGTATAAAGATATTATAAAAATTTATAATTAAAATATCTTTAAAATAGTTCTATCTTTATTAGAAAGTAGCCATTTTCTAATGAAATTATTAGATTTTTAAAATTATTAAAATCTCATAGATTGCTGTTGGAAATGTAAAATTGTACAGCCACTCTGGAAAAAAGTCTGGCAGTTTCTTATAGTATTAAACATATACTTACCATGTGATGCTGCAGTTGAGTTCATAGGTATTTATTCTAGAGATAGGAAAACTTATGTTCCCACACAGACCTATATCTGTTTATTCTTATCAGCTTTGTTTAGAATAGCCGAAAACTGGAAACAAACTAAATGTTCTTCTATAAGTAGGGGGATAAACAAACTGTGATACATCCATACCATACTATTGGCAAAAAAGAATAAATTATTGATACACCCAACAACTTGGCTATATCTTGAGGGCATTGTGCTGAGTGAAAAAGCCAATCTCAAAAAGTCATGTACTATGTGAATCCATTTATATAACATTCTCACTATGGCAGAGTTGTAGATTGAGCTCAGTGCTTGCCAGCAGTTAGGACTGGTAGGGAGGATATGGTGCTAAAAGAATAGTGTGGTTATAGAAAATATTACTGGGAACTCTCTGTATTATTTTTGTAACTACTTATGAGTCTTAACAACAGTAGAACTTTCATAGTTGACCATCTCCGTACATTGGCCACCTCCTTAAGTTGACCTAATTGTCATAGACTGAACATGCACAACACGACATAGCAGTACAGTAGTCCTTGTTCCATATGTTGACCAGTTTGTTACAGTCCCTAAGGTGGTCAAGTTACAGAGGTTCTACTATGTTTCAGAATAAAAAGCTTTAAAAAAATACCCAAGACAAAGAAATTGAAAAGGGATGACAGAAGTAGCAGCTGTGGCTGCAGGTACCCAGAAGTCAGGCACTCTGTACCCACAAGTTTGCCACATTACAGGAGAGGATGATGGGGGAGTCAGCTGGCTTTGGAGCTCTTTGACTGCTGGTTGTGAATAGGCCCAAAGCAGCTGGCTGCCTGCAGTCGTCACACAAAGTGAGCAGACTTCCAGTTGGATGTAGTAGATTACCTTGTGTATTTTTTTCTTCCTTTTGAGAACACATTAAAATCATGGCAAAATAATTAAAAATAAGGACTGTAAATCTATAGCTCAAAGAGACCTGAAAAGGAAAATGTCAGTTGACAAAGGCCTAAAGAAATTTTGGATAACAGAAAATAGACAGAGGCATGGTCATTGATGTAAGAGAACCTACAGAGAAGAAAATTGATGAGAGCTAAGCCATTTACCCAGGGGACCCCAGAGGCTGAGGACCAGGTCCACAGAAAGTGGGGATGGGAGGAGGCACACAGGGCTAGAATAGTCTAGTATGTCAGGCAGTTGGACTCCTGGGTTCCCTTTCCTTCCCTAGCCACCGCTATTAGCTTTTGCTTCTATTTGGCAGACCAGAGATTCAATCTCAGGACATGTTGATCTAAGGAACTCTGGACTGTGAAACACCAGCCAGGAGTGGAGGGGTAAAACTCAGAGCTGAAAACAGAGGAATTCAGTGAGAATCAGCTCTAGAGTGTAGATTCCCAGTCCTGTCTTGATGGGGGAAATCTGCCCACCTGAGGGTCACCCCTCCCCTACCCAATGATAGAAAATTAGAAACTTCTCTGAGGAAACCTAGGGGCCCCTGATTACTGTCATGTTATTCTGTGACCAGTCTCTGAATAAAGCCTACTAGTCAGCAGGTACCCTGTATACACACCTATAGCTTCCAACCAGTAAGTAATATGGGCTCTAGATATAAACTGACCATCAAGGGTCACCAAACATTTAAGGAGAGCCTCCAACATGAAAGAAAGGACTATCAAACAATGAAAAGTAATCAGGAGATAAAATGGGAACTGGAATGAAAAAACCCAAAACTATAATTAATTTAGTTAGATAGGAGATATTACATCTATAAAACAAGAGTAGGAAGGTGTTTTAAAAAGAAGGAATCAAGAAACTTGAAAGCACTCATAGAAATTAAAAATATAGTGGGGGCCAAGCTTGGTGGCTCACACCCATAATCCCAGAGCTTTAAGAGTCTGAGGCAGGACGATCTCTTGAGGCCAGAAGTTCAAGACCACCGTGGGCAGCATATTAAGACCTCATCTTTATCAAAAATTTAAAAATTAGCCAGATGGGGTAGTGTAGGCCTATAGTCCTTGCTACTTATAAGGCTGAGGTAAAAAGATCACTTAAGCTCAGGAGTTCAAGGCTGCAGTAAGCTGCAATCGTACCACTACACTCTAGCCTTGGTGACAGAGCAAGATCCCATCTTTTAAAACAAAAATTTAAAAATATGATGGGCACAGTGTACACTACTCAGTGATAAGTATACTAAAAGCCCTAACTTCACTACTATGCAGTATAGCAATGCAACAAAATTATAATTGTACCCCATGAATTTATACAAATAAAAGAATCTTTCAATTATGATAGCAAAATAATTTTTTATTTCAGATTAACATGAGGGTACAAACAATTAGGTCACATTTGTTTATGTTTATTAGGTAAAGTCCAAGTTAAAAATATGGAACAGTTCATGAGTTTGCCTGTCATCCTTGTACAGGGGCCATGCTAATCTTTTCTGTATCATTCCAATTTTAGTATGTGTGCTACCAAAGCAAGCACCCCCCCCCAAAAAAAAATTATAAACAGAAGAATTAAAATATAAAATTGAAGATATCAGAGATGCAGAACAAAAAGTAGAAAATCAAAAAAGAGGATTAGAAAATTAAATCTGGCTCAGTGCCTGTGGCTCAAGCGGCTGGGGCACCAGCCACATACACCTAAGGTGGCGAGTTCGAATCCCCAGCCCGGGCCTGCCAAACAACAATGATGGCTGCAACCAAAAAATAGCCGGGCGTTGTGGTGGGTGCCTGTAGTCCCAGCTACTTGGGAGGCTGAGGCAGGAGACTCACTTAAGCCCAGGAGTTGGAGGTTGCTGTGAGCTGTGATGCCACATCACTCTACCCAGGGGGATAGCTTGAGGCTCCGTCTCAAAAAAAAAAAAAAAAGAAAATTAAATCCAAGATATGTAAAATCAGAGTCCAGAAAGAAAAGATAAGGAATAGGATTTTTTTTCAGACCTGAAAGACATAATTTTTTGCATGAATAGGGCCCCACTGCGTGTCCAGTAAAATAAATGAACAAATACCCATACTGAGGCAGACTATTATGCAGTTTGGAACACAGGGAGAAAGGCTTCCAGAAATAAGCTAAAAAAGGACAAAAGTACATATGAAGGAACTGTTAGCTGACTTTTCAGCAATAAAACTAGATACCAAAGAGTAGAACAGTATCTTAAACATTCTTAGAAAAATTATGCTCAACTCAACAAAATAGCAATTGTCAATACAATAAAATAGTCAAGATAAGTCAGACCCAAGGAGACTCCAGGTTACCTCTCAGACATCATTTCTTAGAACATTTTTGGAGAATGATCTCCAGCAAAATAACAAAGGAGGAAAGGGGAAGATGTATTATAGATCGGCTAACAAGAGCTCTGACCTGAGCCACCGGAAAGTCCATGCTAGAGCTACAGCATGGCAGACTGGGAATGGTCAGGCCAGTCTAAGCAAGAGGACAGAGAGTCCTTGGAGAACATTCTGGAGAAAAAAATAGACTAGAAGATAAGCTGACGATTTTATTCATATGAACAACTATTGATAAGCCTCTGCTACATCTGATAAAGCATGTGGAAAAGTTGAAGGTAGATGCATAGAAAACTAAGCAAAGGTAGATGAGATAATTATTAATTCCAGGGGGGAAAAAAGGTTTTACCAAGAAAGGAAACAATCTTTAGTACGTTGCTTGGCATTGTAGTGACCAATACTTACAAAGTCATAGTAAACACTGACTATTGATTTATCAGGAAATTGCCCTTTAATTATGTAGGAAGAATTGGAAATGGGTAAGTGGGTGGTGTGGAGAGGTCAATAGGTCAGTCCTCATCCACATTAGTGGAAAGCCTGAAGCTATGGTCCAAAACTGAGAAATAAAGAACATTTAAAACTATGGCAATCAATACAAGAATAACAGCTTAGTTGAAAGTGCTCTAGGGGCTAGGTGCCTGTAGCTCAGTGGTTAGGATGCTGGCCCCAGGGCTGGTGGGTTTGAACCCAGTCCAGGCCTGCTAAACAAACAAACAAACAAAAAAATAGCCCAGCATTGTGGTGGGCACCTGTAGTCCCAGCTACTTGGGAGGCTGAGGCAAGAGAATCGCTTAAGCCCAAGAGTTTGAGGTTGCTGTGAGCTATGATGCTCAGCCCTCTACCAAGGGTGACCAAGTGAGACTCTGTCTCAATAAAAAAAAGAAAGAAAGAAAGAAAGTGCTCTGGGAAGTAAGACCAGGGGTGTGGAAAGGTTGAGGTGTGGATGGTTTTTCCACTTAAGCCTTTATCAAAGCCTTCATCACTGATAAAAACAAAAATCTTGTTCTCACTACTCCTAATTCATAATAGAGAACGTTTTTATTCTGAATGGCACATGTGTAAAGTGTCTGCCTCTTTTTTTTTTTTTTTTTGAGACAGAGTTTCACTATGTCACCCTTGGTAGAGTGCTGTGGTGTCACAGCTGACAGCAACCTCAAACTCTTGGGCTTAAGTGATTCTCTTGCCTCAACCCCCTAAGTAGCTGGGACTATAGACACCCGCCACAACACCCGCTAGTGTCTGCCTCTTTGAATGTTAGGTAGTTTTTCATTCTTTTTTATCATCTGGTCATCTATAAACAGTACATATTTGGGGAGGGAGGCAATGAGTTTGGGTCTATTTTGAATAATGAATATCATGAAGCTGATTATTCATCAGTGGAACAAACAGATAAGATCACCATGTGTTCTGAGCCATGAAGTCAGAGACCATAGGAGTGATTATCATCTATACTTTATATTTAGAGTATTTTAAATTTAGAGCAACATTCTAATTAATGTTGTCATAGCATTTGTCTCTGCATTTATGATATAGTAATAGTGGAATGACATGTTTTATTTATTTATTTTTATTATGTATTTTTTTGAGACAGTCTTACTTGGTCACCCTCAGTAGAGTGCCATGACGTCTTAGCTCACAGCAACTTCAAACTCTTGGGTTCAAGCAATCTTCTTGCCTCAGCTTCCAATGTAGCTGGGATTGCAGGTGCCCACCACAATGCCCTGCTATTTTTTAGAGATGGAGGTCTCACTCTTGCTCAGGCTGGTCTCAAACTCATGAACTCAGACAATCCACTTGCCTCGGCCTCCCAAGTGCTGGGATTATAGACGTGTACCACTACGCCCAGCCAGGAATGACATGTTTTAAAATGAAAACCATGGATACTACATCGTGAAACCTATAAAGAAGCCGTGACTTCTCAGCCTAGCTGTGTGCACAGGGTCTGGCACAGCATGCTTACTCCACAGGTCCTTAGTGAGTAAACCAATCACTAGAAAGTAGGTGCCAGTGACCACCTAGAAAGAACGTTCAGGTAGACCTATGTCTTTGGCCATTAGCAGCACCCACCCTCTACTCCCTAACCCATCCAAGTAATTATGCTAATTAAAATCTCTTGAAAATTTATATTCAATTGATTGCCAAAACATTACCCTTATAATTAAGTTCATCTAGCTGATCATGCACACTTATTTCTTAACACTAGCATGACAACCATTAACAATCTACTTACACTTGAGAGCATGATTGGCCCCCAGGCCCACAGTCCCTATGGGGTATAGTAGAGTCCTGAATGTCTGCTGCTTGCTTGTTCCATTGATAGTAGGTTCTAGGCAGTCCCTTGGGCAACTGGAGAACTGACAAGGTTACACACACCTTGCCACATGCAAGCACTCCTGTTCCATCAGGTAAGGAAGTAAGTGTTCTTCATGATTTTTTAATCAGCTCCCATCAATTTGTAGACTATACCATTAAACACGTGTAGGTATCCTAGGCTACACAGTAAAAAAATCTGAAGATTACTTGGTCTACTGTTTATTTCATTAATTTGTGTGTTTTGTTTGTTCATCAGAATGTTATGGAACAGTTCAATCCTGGGCTACGAAATTTAATAAACCTAGGGAAAAATTATGAAAAAGCTGTTAATGGTAAGTCTTTCTGCTTTTTCTAAGTTGATAAGTATAAAGTACATAAGCTATTCAGTAAATATTTTAATTTTTCAATGCTATTATTAAATTTTTAAAAATCTTTAAATGGTGGAAGTTATTTACAGGTAACATGCAAAACTTTACTATGATAGAACATAATATTAGTGTATTTGGGATGAGTCAGTTGAATGATGGGCTACTATAAACAATGTATTTTAACTATGAAACTATCTTTTTGACATGGCTCAATGTTTTATACAATTGCCTTAAACATGTTTTCTATTTTTTGAAACAAATTCTTTGAAAACTAATAACAAATTTAAAATGTGTCCTTAAAATATTTATATGTTAACATCTTGCAGCACAGGAATTATTCTCCTTTGATTTATATAGAAGAATCTCTTGCCTTTAGATGTTATCACTTTTTTTAAAATCTTTTTTGGGGGATGGGGTATGACTTTTGATAGTAACATGAGAAATAATATTTTTAGAGTAAACATCTAAATTAAAGATCGGACTTAGATTGTCATTTCAAAATAAGTGCTTTATTTAAAATTAATTTGAGTATTGGTGTTTGCCTCTCTTTGTAAACCAGAGTTGTTCTAGTTTGAAGAAGTTTCTGTGGAGAAAGCTACACATGTGTTTCCCTACTAAAGGGTGAACATTATAATGCATCAATGACCTACTTAAAATGCTAATAATCACCAAATTCTAACATGGTCAGGACAATTCTCCCTGTAAAGCAAGTGTCACCTCCAAAATATTCAGACCCCAGTTTCACCTTCTACCTTGGCTCACTAAAAGACTGCTAACTAACATAAGTAGATAAATTAGTTTCCCACAGTTTTACATTTGAAGAAGGCTTTGGATCAAGTTTCATGTCATTTTCTTATCTCTTTATATCATTTTCACCACTCCTGACCTTTGCCTCCTTCCTGTTGATACTTGGAACCAAACCTGTGGCCTCACTCACAGCATGAGCATGCCTTGAGAAAGGGGATGCTACCCAGACTGTGGACTCTGGGTAACAAGGAGCGCTGCTGTTGTGGTTGCTGGGAAAATAAACCGTTCATTTACTTTCTTCTGCATCTCTGCACTTTCTTGCCTGATGCTTTCTGCATTTTCAGTGTCAGGAAGCACAGAGATCTGGGATTTCCTTCTTTCCCCTCCAGCTATAGTATCAGTAGCATCTGTGCCCCGCTTGTCCAGAGAGCCAGAGCCGTGCACTGTTGACTGCCTCAATGATTGCTTAGTCACAAGGCCACAAAGTCATTGCTTTAGTTGTCCTTGTGAAGGAAATTGCTGTGACCTGCAGTGTTTTTCTTTTCTTTCTAGTACAAGCTGCCTCTCTGAGGCAGTTTTACTCACAGCTCTGCCTCCTACTAACAAGGCTTCTCCCCAAAGGGCTCTTATCACTTTAGCACCTCCAGGGGAGTCTTTTGTACTTCATGAAAGTATTTCCAGAATTTCTACAGGCCATCTGGTCATACTTTGCTGAAGCCATTGAGAAATTTGAAAAATTCAGATAAATTTGTAAAGTCTTTGGTAGGAATTTGGAGGAGAGATGAGGCTGTCAAATATTCACTCAGTTAGATTAGAATGCAAGACAATATTGTGAATGGCTGAGACCAAGGTATAGACCAATGTCACAGGAATTTGAGTAGTAAGGATCAGTGTGGACTGGAACAGGCAGGAGGCCTACAGGATCTGGGCCCTCTGACAGATGCTTTTGCAGGCAGTCACTGATTCAGACAGAAAAACTAGTAACCAAGCCAAGTCTTGGGGTCTACACTAGCCCAAGTAAGGTGCCAATGGGGAACAGGTGGGGTGAAATCAGATAGCATGTGCACTGGAATGCAGCATCAGTCATCTCTCAATGCACAGCAAACGTGGTATCTTAAGACAACATAGCTTATTCTTTCTCTTGTAAAAGCAGGCAGTTCTCTAGACCCTTGGGGGCTCACTCCTGCAGCTGCAATCAACTTGAGGCCTGGACTGGGCTAGGGGCACAATGCACTCTCTCTCCATGGGATCTTTTCCCTTCAAGGAGGCCAGACTGGCTCCTCACACAGTATCAGTGGAGTCCCAAGAGTATAAACCCTGATGCCTAGCATGTATCAAACTCCTATGGGAGTCATGCTTGCTGTTATTCCATTGGCCAAAGCAAGTCCGATGATCAAGCCACTCATCAGTGTAGTAGAGGACCCTATAGGTTGAGAATTCTGGGAGGAGTGATTCATGAAAGACTATTACTCATAAAAACCTACCTTGAGCTCTGGGTGGTAGGAGGCCATTAAAGGCTTTTGAGTATAATAGTAACCCAATGAAACCATATCTTAAGGAAAAATTATTGGCTAGAAGTATGTAGATTAAATTGATGAAGCAGTTGGCCAACCACTGAACTTGAACTAATAGGCTTCATATCTTAAAACAATTAGCAGTAGAAAATATCTTAATGTGTTCACAAAGAGAGGTAAAATTATAAAAATATTTTCATTTTCATTCTGGCTAAATTATATACTTTTTAAGCTAATTTAGCTTTCTATCATAATAGTAAAGATTTTACAAGACTGAGAAGGTTACATAGTTTTAAACATAATTCAGCGTCAGTTAATGAAAAATTTCAACCTAATGTGTGGATACAGACCAAAAACTTTGTTTAAATATTGTGTAATTCTGCATACCATTCTCTCACTAATTTGCTTTTCAGCTTACCAGAACTTTACAACTTAAAATCTTAATACTAAGATATTACATATACTAACATGACAGTTCTTTGGCTATAAACTTTGTTTTTAGGTGGAGTCACTTTTTCTTCAGTTCTGAGACCAAAGAGTCAAAAAACACCATAATTTAGAACTGAGGAAGTGAAGCACCCTAGCTGGAGTTGTGTACACTGCCGTTGACTCACCATTGACCTTGGGCATGTCCCAGAATCTCTCCAATCCCTTAGTGAACTAGGCTGATAACATTACCAACCCATATCTTAACATTGTGGGTAGATTCAGTAATGACTTGGAAAGTCCATATAAATGCTAATTCCTATTGTTCTTTTTATAATTACACTTAAAGGTTACTCCCAGCCTTATAAAATAATAGTATAGTAGATCGTTACATTCCCTAAACTTGTATACATATATATATATATATAGCAAAAGCCATAACTTTTGTAATTTTTAATTTTACAATAAATGCTACACTAGATAAATTTTCCAGAAAAATTCTATTCTTTTGGCTTCCAATACCCTTAGCTGGAACTATACATGAAATAATTCTGTATCCCTACCCCCCAATGCCCAAATTTTTTTTATGCTTGCCTTTTAAAATCCACCTTTTTAGGCTATGGGGGCCAACCACATACACCAAGGCTGGCAGATTCGAACCGAGCCTGGACTGGGCGTTGTGGCAGGTACCTGTAGTCCCAGCTACTTGGGAGGCTGAGGCAAGAGAATAGCTTAAGCCCATGAGTTTGAGGTTGCTGTGAGCTGTGAAGCCACAGCACTCTACCAAGGGTGACACAGTGAGACTCTCTCAAAAAAAAAAAAAATCCACCTTGTTAGAACATTGACCATTGTACACTGGGGACACAGCAATGTATAAAGCATTATGGCCTCTGGTTTTTCCCTTGGTGAAACAAAGTGACTGGACAAGGGGATTCCTGAAAGCTCTTTTAAAAAGCTCTAAAATCCTCTGGTCTCCTAACCTCCAGAAGGAACTACTTTCTATGTATGAAACCAATCTTTGAGTAAAATAAAATAAATTATTTTTTTTCCAAAACCACACTAAATAGGCTAGGTATTTTGAAAAGCTCGTTTATGGTATACCTGCAAGCCGCTCAAACCCAGCTTTCAAAGAGAAAAAAGCAATTGGCATTAGTAGCTACCATTTTTCATCCACTGCTCACATTTCAGGACTTTTCATGGGTGAGCAGCCTTTGTTCAGAAAGAATAAGTAATTTGCCCAGGGAGGGCATGTAGTTATAATTTAGTCTTTAGAATCAGTTTGAAGGGAAAAAAAAATTCAACATAATTAGAACCCAGCTTGTATAGCAATAAAAATTTTCCTGTCTTTGCCGAAAAGGCAAAAAAGAAAAGTAGAGAATTCAGTTACTTTTCAGACAATTATATTGGTTTTTGGAATGATAATATATTTCATAGATTTCTTCCTCTGGTGACAAATATGTTGGTTGATTGTGATTCAGAATGTCTTTTTTAATAGAAAAGGTAATATGCCATTGAAGGACCAGGTCCCTAGGCCACCTCACACAAGTCCTCCTAACTAGTAAGTTGCAGGCTTGTAGTGCTATAGAATAACTAGTATGGAGAAGATTTTTTGCTGGAGAGGATGTGTTCCCATTCTTTAATGTCCAGAACACATCACTGAGGCAATGATCCCACAGATGAGTTCTCCCCACCTGGCTTTCTCCTTTCCTTGTCTAAGTGATGATTTTGTGTCTCACCTTTCATATCTAGCTATGATCCTGGCAGGAAAAGCCTACTACGATGGAGTGGCCAAGATTGGTGAGATCGCTACTGGGTCCCCCGTGTCAACTGAGCTTGGTGAGCTGACAGTTTCTAATACATAAACCCAACCTGTCATCCCTTGTGAACCCTGATAGGAACACCTGAGGTGCACTCATCCAGAATAGAAAGGGAGTTAGATCATGTTCTGTGGAAATTGTGGAGGCTGGGCCTGATGCCTGGGGGCCACTGGAGGGACTGCAGCTGGGCTATTTCTGTGCCAGCTTCCTTGCTCCCTAGGAACTGCAGCCTCTGCCTAAAGGCCCTAGGAGAGGAGTTTGACCTACATTCCCTCCCGGTAGGGGAGCCGGGCCTCCAGACTATAGCAGAAGTGTTTCCTATGACTCACCTAGTAGAAAACCCGACTCCTTTACATCGTGCTGTTGGCTCTCACAGCTTCCATGGTTGCCTTCGGTTGTGATTTTTCCGGTTTTGCTGGTATGAATCAATCTCCTGTGCAGGCACAGAGGGCAGCCACACCCAGGGCAGTGCCTGCTACAGGGGAGACCTAGGTTTTTATTTACAGAGGCTCTTTACTGTTACTACCTCCTGAGGAGGAAAGGTTGATTTTTAAATAGTCTCATACACCACCCTTATTTTTAAAAGTTGTTGAATGTGTGTTATTGTACAAAGGGTAAAATTTCTGGCTTAAAAACATTGATCATAATTTGAAATTGTTCAGAAAACCCAAGGAAAAGAGCAATAAACTCTGTGTGTGTGTTTAGAGAAAAGTGTATCTGTCTACAGTTAAAAAGTGGGAAGGGGAGAAGAGGAGGAGCTGGTATCCTAGAAGGAGGGTGCAGACAGTTCACACTGTTTCACATTAGGTTGCCTAGAGGGTTTTGAGGGTTGTTGGAAACTCTTAACTGACCCAGAGTAAAACTGAGTTCTCATTCATGTTCTCTAATGACTTTGTAGGAAAAATTTATAAAAGGTAGACTACACCCCAGTACTTATACCCCATGGTGGATAAGGCCAACATGCCCATATTTAGGAGATTCAATTATATGCAGAAATTTTTAAAAACCCTGACTTATGCCCTGGTTGGTGCTATAACTTGTGCATGTTTTGGCAAGGACCAAACTGTCAATTTAATAAAATACAGACTGCCATGTATAGACAAAAGCAGAGCACAAACCTTAGGATATTTAGGGGAGTAGTTGAATGATTATAGGGTTCCAAAAATAGGGCTAAATTAAAAAGAAACATCTTATTTGTATTATGCATCAGGAAAAAAAAGTGTCTGACCCTCATGTTAAAACATGGTGCTCTGATTCACTGGCTTACAGTTTGCCTTTTTAATGTTTTATAGGTCCTGCCACTATTCAAATAAGACTTCTATTCTATACCTTACTTTATTCAGCTATGAGTTCAGTAATGTTGAATCAACTGTTTCCACAGCAACAATGTTGTTATAAACACAGACTTAGAACTTCAGTTTCAGTGAGGAAACTATGTTGTGATGGTAACGTTTTTCTCATTTGGATATGTATTTTTTTCATAGGGAACAGGAAATAACTTTTGCTTCAAGTTTTGTTTCATTTTATCCTTTCACTCATATTCAATATCCCATATGGCTACCAATTTTCTATTTCTAGCAATTGCATGATAAAACACTATCTCAGGAACAGTTGCTTTTGGAAGCCTAAAATTAACTTCTTTGACTAGCTTAGTTTTTATTTTGTTGTTCTTATTTTTTAAATTCCCAATATGGAAGAGTAGTGGACAAAATTCACATAGGGAATTTCATAGAAAAGAAAAAGACCAAAGGTAGATTATATTTTTCTCATTTTCCAAGATTTTATTGTCTACTTACTGGCTTTTGCTATCGGTATTCATAACTTCATTTGAAACTTACAAATCTCAAGGCCAAGCATGGTGGTGGCTCATGCCTATAATTCTAGCACTCTAGGAGTCCTAGGTGGATGGATCACCTGAGCTCATGAGTTTGAGACCAGCCTAAGCAAGAGTGAGACTCCACCTCTAAAATTAGCTAGGCATTGTGGTGGGCACGTGTAGTCCCAGCTACTTGGGAGGCTGACGAAAGAGGATCACTCGAGCACAAGAGTTTGAGGTTGCTGGGGCAGTGCCTGTGGCTCAAGGAGTAGGGTGCCGGCCCCCTATAGTGGAGGTGGTGGGTTCAAACCCAGCCCCAGCCAAAAACTGCAAAAAAACCCCAAAAACATGAAACAAGAGTTTGAGGTTGCTGTGAGCTATGATGCCATGGCACTCTACTGAGGGTGACCAAGTGAGACTCTGTCTCAAAAAAAGAAAAAAAAGAAACTTATAAATTTCATGTGAGGAAACTTGAAGAGAGATTATTATGTGTGTGAAGATCATGAATCACTTCTGGATTGACCTCTATTGATACAACAGAGCTACAATAGTACCATTTCTGGATTCTAGCCATATATATTTCCATGTAGACATCAACTCTCACATTCCTCTTCTGACATCAGCTCATTCATTGCTATGTGAATAATTTAGGATGCTTTTGCCCAAGCAACAAAGTACCCAACTAATGGTGATTTAAGCAATAAGTATGTTTATTATGCTACTTAAGGCCAGGCAAAGCAGGTCCTAGTTAGTTAAGTATCACCAACGACCCAGGTTCCTTCTCCCTCATCTTTATGCTCATTTCCTCATGGTGCCAAGATGGCTGCCATTGCTAGTCCAGCCATCACATCCTCTCTCCCCATTATCTCCAAAGGCAGAGAGGGGAATTTCTTCTCAGGTGTGTCCATTTACTAAAGAGACAACCTTTGCCCAGAAGCCCCAGCACACAGCCCCTCAAGTCCCATGGCTCAATTTTTTTTTTTTTTTGAGACAGAGTCTCACTTTGTCACCCTCAATAGAGTGCCCCGGTGTCATACCTCACAGCAACCTATAACTCTTGGGCTCAAGTGATTCTCTTGCCTCAGCCTCCCAAGTATCTGGGACCACAGGCGCCTGTCACAATGCCTGGCTATTTTTCAAGATGGGGGCTCACTGTAGCTCAGGCTGGTCTCGAACTCATGAGCTCAGGTGATCTGCCCACCTTGGTCTCCCAAAGTCCTGGGATTATAGGCATGAGCCACTGGACCCAGCCTCCATGGCCCACTTTAGATCACACTCTTATGACCCAGCTGCCAGAAAGGCTTCCCCACCATGGTAGCCAGGGAATATAAAGGAGGAGAGTACATCTCTGATATTAAAGGTTTGTTTTCAACAACCTTCAATGAAAGGGAACAACTTAAAGAAATTTTTTCACATTAGCTGTACCCTGGATGTACATGATACTTCTGTGTTTTGAACATGTCACTGATAGGAATGATGTTTTTCTCCCACATGAGAAATGTGTGTGTGTGTAACTATTGTTTTTCCCGAGTCCTTTTTCACTTTGTCCTCCAGAAGACCACAGATATCCTTCCCAGTCTGTTCCTATTTGGGAAGCGAGAGTTAAAGCACTGAGAAGAAGTGAGGGCATTGTAAGAGTTGGTTTTTCCCTCTGCCCTTTTGTTTTCATTTTTTAATTGTTAAGCCTTTAAGGATCTTACAATCATTAAATGGTGTATTTCCCCTGCCTGTGCTTCTCTCCTTTCTTTCCTCCCCCTTCTTCCTTGGGTGGTCTGCTGTTGCTCACAATCCTCCCTGCCTCATGTTGAAAGTTGAAGGAACAGAGGAAATGAAAAACATCACCCTCATTTGACCACTTGATATGTTTCTTTTCAGTCTTTTCTTTCAGTGTGTATATTCTTACACAATGTGCCTATAGGTGCCTACTACTTTTTCCCCGTAAATGGTTTAAGATGCCCATGATTACATAGTAACAGTATTAGTTCTCACAGAGCCCTGGGAGTCAGGTGTAGGGGCCTATACTGTCTCTTGGAATAATGCCCAGCTCAGTGAAATGACTTGCAATTAGTCAGTGGTCCAACTATGGAATCTGCACTCTTTACCTCTACACTGTGCTGCTCTTGACCGAGGCGAAGAAAACCAGAAAAAGCCAGCCAAGAAGGGGTCACTGAAGAAGAATGTGGGACCTTCACAATGGTGATCTTTTCGAGAGTGGAATGAAAAGTTATTGTTAGCATCAGAGCACCCGGAAGGTGAGGGATAAGCAGTCACCAGTTCCCTGGGAAGTAGAGGCTTCTCTAGGATTCTGACCATAAACACCAAGTGTTGCAGGTGAAGGATGATAGCTGTTATAGAGAAGTAATACATGAGAGTTTTCTTAGAAGTTTGCTTAACTTTTGTGTTGCTGTGCTTCCATACAAAAACTCGGGTCTCTAAGCTTCGAGGTACTTTGTCACCTCCTAGTATTCTCAGGAACCTTCTGGATGACTTCTTTCTGAGTAGTTGTAGGGTGCAGTGTTCCCTCCCAATGGATATACAACCTACAGGTAAACTTAGCCATCACCTCCTTCTGCATGGGGATAGGCGATAACCTTCATGACTGATCACATTGGGTTACATGTCCCTAGCAATGTGTTTTGCAGCTGAGCAAGATGTAGTAAGGGTTGTAGAGGCAGTCACCCCTGCAGGGATAATAGGGACTTCAGTGCTACCTGTGCTGCAGAGCTTACCACACCCAGGGGGAGCTCAGAAAAGATCCTGTGATCTAAGATGATGAGGCCAGGCTGGATTTTACTTTCCCTGAGACTCTGCCATATAGTATGCTACCTGGTGCCCAGGAGATGCTCAGTAAAGGTTACTGTGGTTACATTTCTGCTGTCAACTTGTTGCGTGACCTTGGGAAACACTTAACTTTTATGAGTGGATCAGTTATACCTAAAGGGGATGATGGCCTCATCTTGCAGATCAAAGATAAAATGCCATGTGCCTTGTGCCTTCTAAAGTATCAATGGCTAGAAATATTCTTCTCTGTTGCTACTTCATGCATTCAAAAACTTTTGAGAACTTAAAGAGCAATACCAGTTTTCTGCATTGGCATTTGTCTCTTGCATAAAGTAGGTAATGCAGGTCTGTAAGAATACCACATATATATTTTCTTGATTTTTCATGAACCACTTGTTCAATTCTCTATGTTATATCTTTTT